ACTCCACACACGCATGGCTTGGCTTTTGAAACAACCTCAACTCCCTAGTGAAGCTAATGGGAGCTGCAGGCCATGTCTACAAGCAAATCAGACCATAAACTTCTAATTCTCCCACATGCAACAATAACTTGAGGGAAGCTCTAGCAGGCAGGTTAGCATGAGCATTGGCATGTGAATTGGTCCCTCTGCCTTTTCCTTTCCCAGGTGTTAAGCCTCAAGCACCTCTCCCCAAAGAAGTCAGTCAGAAGGGACCCGCATGGGGTTGTGACCTGCATCAGCTAATGTTTGGAAACTATTTTGCTAACTCCCTCTGTTGGATCTTGAATATTCTCTCTCTCTCTCTCTCTCCTCCCCCACCCCCTCAGCCCCCATTATGTACAATCTGTTACCCCTGCAAGCAGCTGGCTCTGTGACATCATATCATTTGTGCCCAGTCAACGGATGCCACTAAAGCAGGGTTTGGCAACCTTTCAGAAGTGGGGTGCCGAGTCTTCATTTATTCACTCTAATTTAAGGTTTCGCGTGCCAGTCATACATTTTAACATTTTTAGAAGGTCTCTTTCTATAAGTCTATACTATAGAACTCAACTATTGTGTGTAAAGTAAATAAGGATTTTAAGACGCTCCATCTAAAATTAAATTAAAATGCAGAGCCCCCTGGACCAGTGGCCAGGACCCGGGCAGTGTGAGCACCACTGAAAATCAGCTTGCATGCCGTCTTCGGCACGCGTGCCATAGGTTGCCTACCCCTGCACTAAAGCCTAGCTCTCCAGGGTCCTGGATCTGTCTTGGATACAGCACCGGCAATGAAGGGGATGTGTCTGCAATTGCAACATTATTACAATGAATGGCTTCACCTCCTCCCCGCCACCCAGTGATTTCCTCTCCTCCCCACCCCACCCCACCCCAGCTTTGTGAATGCAGCACTTCCAAACTGGCGCATGTAAGGGCCTCCTGCAGTGCTCTGTCAATGCACCAAGCTAACAAGCTTTGTGTTTGCCTATCTCTTGTGATAAAGAGCTTCCCCTTTTCCATGGCGTCCTTTTCAAGTGCTGCTTTTTCGTTTTCATTGTGTTTATGGTAAGAAAATAAAAACCTCCCCTTACGTGACCTTTGCAATAAAAGAAAAATAAACTTTTCTTTTCCAGCCAGGTAATTATTTGTAATTAATTTACCAGGAATTAATTGCTGAACTGCAGCTTGATTCAGATTCCTTTGCTTGCTCATGAGAAATGTTGCTGGCTATTTTTTTTAACCCTCTGCTTCTGTATCTCTCTCTTCTGGATTTCCTTTTGCATCTTGCTTTTATTATGTAGATGTGATTTTTTTTTCTCTTTTGAAAATTCCCATTCTAAATGATTATTTTTGTTTTTTAAGTGAGTGTTATAAGGCCTCCGTAGCATTTTATTTTATATTTGTAAAGTTTGTTTTTTTTATTTTATTTTATTTTTGGCACGGGTATTCAGCAATCTGTCTGCTTTGCATTTGGATGGTCTAATCCACTGGCAGAGTGAAGTCATGTTAATTGGTAAATTGATGCTGCCTGGCAGAGCAGCTCCAGGTCATTACAAATGTTGAACTTCTTAAGATGCAAAATATCTGCCATTTGAGTGCTTTAGCACAGACTAAACATGGAAATTTGCAGTGAGGCTTAGAGGAAAATACAGACCAACCACTGCATTTCAGAGCTGTAAGTAGTTTTTGTTTTTCTTAAATTGCTTTTATCTGTGGTGGTGGTAATAGATCCATAGATCTAATCCCATCTCAAATGGCACATTGTTTAATATTGTTATAGCACAGAGGTTCCTATCAGAATCTGGAACCCATTGTACTAAATCCAGGCCAAGCACATAGTAACAGGGAGTCCCTGCCCTGAGGAGAATGTATTCTAAAAAAGAGAAGGGACAGACAAAGGAAAGGGGTGCCAAGTGGACAGATGGTGATATGCATGTGTCTGGCGAGTTCCTTTGTGTGTGTGGAGTTGGGGGGGGGTGCCCCCAAGATGAGTAACCTGAGTTCTTTGACTGACTCAGCAACTGCCTGACTATTTGAGTTTGGGGACAAGTCACTTACATATCTGAGTGAAATTTACTTCACGTTCACTCCCCTCCTCCCCCAGAAAGCCTTACTCTTTGAGCTTTTTGCGGTGAAATCCAGCCCCACATACCTCAAACAGAGGCCATAGTACAGAGTGATAGAGCGAAATATTTTTTCACACAATGGATAATTGAGCTGTGGAACTCATAGCTGCAGGAGGTCATTGAGATGAAGAATTTAGGAAGAGTCAAAAAAAGGGATTGGACATTTATATGGATCACAAGAATATGCAGAATTAAAATAGATAATCCTAACAGAAGCTTTGAAGGGATATTGAAGCTCATGCTTCAGGGCTTAAGCCAATCTCTTACTATGAGAGATTAGGCAGAGACCAATTGCAGAAAATCATCCCGCATCTGCCTGCTGCAGGGTTCTTATACTCTCTCCCAAAGCATCTGGTCCTGGCAACGGTCAGAGAAAGGATATTGGACTAGAGAGACCTTGAGTCTGATCCGGTTTGGCAATTCCTATGCCCCTGTTCCTGTACAACTGACCCACTCCAGCATTCATTTGTTCAGCCTATAGGATCCTCTGCAGTATTTCCATGCGTTGTTAGCCCATAAGGTCATGTTTCTGTGTTGCTGGCAGTTCTCTCCGTCTATCTAAACTGTGGCATTATGAGATGTGCAGGCCCCCCCGCCACCAGGATGAATACGATTCTGCATTCAAGTGGCTAAAATGGGATATAACTGTATTGACCTCTCGGGTGGCGCAAGGCATGATTCATGGGGGCAAGCACTTTGAGATCTGCAAGTGTAAGGGTATGTACTGCTGCAGAAGTGCTATGGTATTATAAGTGTATCTTATAAAGAATTACATAGGTCAACCCAACTTGAGAGAGAACTACTAGAAAGGGAGAGAGTTTACTGTAGGGTTGAAGTTTCCAAAGTAGTCTAGGAGATTTACACACAGATCTGCCACTTACAATTAATGGAAAATGTATGTCTAAAGCCCTTAGGCTACTTTGAAAATCTCAGCCTCAGTTACTATCATATCATTTCATTTCAAGGGGCCATTTAAGGTGAAGTTGTCCATTAACACCCCTCTGATCATAGTGGGGGAAAGTTTGTGTGTGGGGAGGGGGGACGGGATTGATGGAATGCATGTGGGGGGGATTGCTAGTTGGCCACTTCACCTTGAATGGTCCCTTGAAATATGTGTTAACGACTTATGCTAAACAATCTGTTCCACCTTGTATTTAGCTGTGACACTCAGAGTACGTTTCCCAGACCCAAAGAGCTCTGTGTAAGCTTGAAAGCTTGTCTCGCTTACCAACAGAAGTTGATCCAATAAAAGATATTACCTCACCCACCTTATCTCTCTTATACCCTGGCTGTGACATGGCTACAACAACACCGCATACAACAATGGCATAATTAATGGTGTCATTTGAAGTTTATGCAGGAATTAGATTTTTGTGTGTTTTGTTTTGTTTTTTGTTTTTTGCTGTCTTTCCCTGACTTATACACACTCAGCAGGTCCAAAAACTAACCCAGTAATTTTGGCCAGTTAGTGTTTTATACTTTGGTTACTGGAAAAGACTTCAGGTAACTTTTTAAGTATCTTCTCCATATCGCTCTACTCTGAGATCTGGTTGCTTTTTCTGTCTGATTACCAGATGTAGATTACCCAAGCACTGTAGCCTCCTATTTCTCAGATGTGGGGCTTGTTTAGTTCCCTTCCTCTTAGTTGTCTTTTAATTAATCATAGAAAACTTCAGGGATTGACCATCTAGATCACAAATACTGTTTATTTTTAATGTCTAAACTAATTCACTTCCAAATCTGACCCTACACGTCTCTATGCTTGTTTCCCCATGTGTGCGATGGTGATGCTTATCTGTCTTGTTGTGAGGTTTAATTAAAGCGCTCTGAGATCTTTGGATGGGAAGTGCAAACTACTTTTATTTATAAAGTCTTTGTTTTCTACCTCTGCAGCCTTGGCTGAAATCCAGCCTAATTTTCAAAGTACTTCTGACCTTATATTAGTCTCTAAAGGTGCATAAATATATTCTGAGAACCTGGCATGAGGTGATATGACTTGCAATTTCTGCTCTCTGGGAATTGTTTTTCCCCTTCACTTTTAAATATCATCCAAAGCATGACTGACAGGTTGGTACTGGGAAATGTGCAGAAATGAAATCTAGACTAGACATAGAGGGTTTAAAACAGTGCTACGTTAAAGTGCATTAAGGAACCTTTAGTGCATTCCAGCAGGTTCTGCACAGACCAAATTAATACACAGTATGTTTGTGCGCTTTAGAAATCAAACCCCTGTAGAGCACATTACCTCACCATGTAGCTAAACCCTCAGATAAAACTGGTATCCTAGTAAATCTAAACATCTGTTTTCAAGCCAGTCACAATCTTTTGTATGATGCTAATAGGTGAATGTTTAAATGTTGTTTCAAGACATATGTTTTAAAACTACTTTTATGTAATTGATCAGATAATAGGCTGATCTTGTTCTGTCTTTTGGAAGGAATATTGTCAGGTCAGATTTTCTCCAAAATTTATACAAATCTTTACAAAATCTCATTGACAGAAATGTTTCTGTATTTTTTAAAATAATTTCAATGGGAACCATTCATTTGGAAGACACTCATATTCCAGTGCAGCAGCTGCATCCCATCAACTGTTGTATTGTGCTAATGTATGAAAACCAGAAACCGAATCTGTTTTCTTCTTGCATTTATCTCGGCTTCTGCAGTAAAAATAAGGAGCATAAATGGTGAAGCATAAATCAGATTTATAAAAACTCCTTCCATTCTAACAGTCTAAAGCCGTGTCAATAACACAGATCAGGAAAGCGTAGCTTTTAAACAGATGGGGTTTTAAGGTGACGGGGTTTGGTACCAAACCTGAGTAGCCCAGGATCATTTCAGTTTAATACACTCACATTAGGGCTGTAATATTGTGCACTTCCTTTTGTTGCATTTTCCTGACGACCGTATCTTCTTCTTCAGCCTGAATCCCTACAGCTATGATGAGAACTGCCTGAGCAGTAGTGAAGACCACATCCCGCTGGCTGCCTTGCCCTTGCTGGCCATTTCCTCCCCTCAGTACCAGGATGCAGTTGCCATGGTGATTAACAGAGCCAACCAAGTTTACAATGAATTTCTCAAGTCTCCTGATGGGACTGGTTTTAATGGACAGGTAGGACCATTTCCTCTTACGTCAAAGAAAAATGCTTTGGGCAAGGCCGAGTTTCCATTATTTTAGGCCATTGCCTTGCGTGTATCAAGTTACTAGTATGGGGCTGACACAGCAAATGAGAGGAAGCAGTGTTCGCATGGGAGTGCAAAATGTCTGTTTACATTTCCCAGACATGAAGAAGAGCTCTGTGTGAGTTCAAAAGCTTTCTTTCACCAACAGAAGTTGGTCCAATAAAAGATATTTCCTCACTCACATTCTCTCTGTTAAGCCTCTGAGGATGCTCAGGGTGAACTAGGAGCTTCCTGAAACCTGAGCAGGGTCAGTTTGAGCTGGTAACTCATGCAGTGAATAGAAAGCACTGGACCTAAAGGTTTGAGAACAATAGAATTTTTGCTTCATTGGCAATTTAAAAAAGTTTAAAATAAATATTTGGGGTCAGACCAAAAACTAAAATATAGAAATTTGTCAGCAAATTGAAAACCTGAAGAAAACATTTGTTGTGGGTTGAACAAAATCGGAAACACTTCGTGTTGCAAATGCCAAAACAAAACGTTTTGATTTTTTTTTCTGACTTGTTCTCTCTGCCCCTCCCCCTGCACCCTCCATCACCACTCCAAAGTGAACAATTCGGCAAAACCAACACACATTCATAAAATGTTTTGGTGTGGCTGAATCTGCAATTCTCATCAGAAAAAGTTTCAGCTGAAAAATTTGCTCAGCTCTAGTTGTACCTTCTCTCCCAGCCAGTCCAATTCCTAAATTCGTATAACCCCTTTGCAGATGATGGGAGTTGAGGGACCTCAGCACGTCTCTGATTAGACATAGGGAATCAAACATTTAAGTACTGGTATCTCCCTCTTTTGTCACGGTGTCAGTAAAACCACAGGGAGGAATCATGATCTTATGATTGAGGACTCAGGAGATCTGGGTTCAGATTTTGGCTCTGCCACAGATTCCCTTGTGTGACCATGGGCAAATCACTCAATCTCTCTGGGCCTGATACAAATACCAATTAAATCATCTAAAAGACTTGCGTGGAGTTGATTGGGTTTGGGAGCACCACTCTCCTGTAGCTACCTGGTCTCTAAATGGGGTTACTAATACTTCTCTACCTTTTTGAGGATACATTTATTACTGAGTGTGAAGTGCTTATATACATTTGTGATGGGCCTTTAAAGGTCTAGATAGATACAGTTGTTTTAAGTACAGTGAGGTTTCAAAGGCTCTGAAAGAAGAAAAGATTTTTAATCTGAGGGTACAGTGTAATCTTCTGAGGAAAGCATGAGTCTTATTACACAAACAAATTATTTTTTTCATAACAATAATAGGATTATACTGTGGCATATCAGTTTTTTAAGCTGAAATTTGGTTTGGAGCCAGTTTAATATCCGTAGTAAAAATGTTCTTGCTTGGAGCTTTTAAAAAAAACAAACCCCGGCTATTATGTCAGAACGTTATGAAAGGTGAGATTATGAGAAGAAAAATTATACCAATTACAGAGATAATTATAAAAACAGATCTCTTCCAGTAGAAACTGAATGTTAAGAGGTTTGTTTTTCTTTAGGCCAAAGCTACACAAAAGGCCTTTTTTTTGAAAAACATCTATTGATAATTCACCTGGGATGGTGTAAACAATCTCAGTATATTTTGCATGTTTCCACCGCACAGGAAAAGTGCTGATATCATTAGAACGAAAATGTTGTATTGTTCATAGTCCTCCATTTTGGCAACTGGATAAAACCATCAAATTCACCTCTAAATATATAGGTCTCTAGTTATAAAATATGTACAGTATAATTCAGTGAAACTGGACCGGGAGTCGGGCTTTCAGTTCTATTCCTAGCTATGCCACTGACCTGCTGTGTGACCTGGGCAAGTCACTTAATGTGTCTGTGCCTCAGTTTCCTCTCCCACCCTTGCCTCTCTTGTTTACTTACTTTACAAACTCTTTGGGGCAAAGGACTGCCTTACTCTTACAGTGGGAGGGCTAGCTATCCAGACTATGTGCCCATCTGAGACCACAGGCATGTACTCAGGGTGGCTAGCCCCACCTGCCACTCATGCCACTATAGTGACATTCTCTTTTTAGCAAACTAGCTCTCATCGAGCTAATGCAGGTATGTCTCTTTGAGGTGGGACTCACTCCTCTAGCTCCAAGTGTAGATGTACATACTCTAAGTGCTACTCTAACACTAATAATCATCATCAAGATGAGAGTTGTCATGGTAAGTGCAATGAGATGCCATTAATCCTTCACAAAACATTCTGTTAATGTATTGTTAAGGTTCGGTGTAGCCAGGTGGATTTTCAGTTCTTTGTGGTGTGCATCAGAGGGGATACTATTTTTAAGTTAAAAACTCACCTGGGATGTGGGAGAGCCCTGTGTTGCTTGGTTCAGAGCAGTGACTTGAATCTGAGGCCTTGTCTACACTAGCAAGTTTCTGCGCAGTAAAGCAGTTTTTTGCATTGTAACTCCCAAGGTGTACACACTGCCAAGCCACTTCGTGCGCAGAAAGTGCGCAGTAGCAGCACTGTAAAAAACCCACCCCGACGAGAGGTGTACAGCTTTCTGTGCCGGGGGTACAGCACTGCAGTGCCAGTGTAGACACCCTGGTCGGTTACAGCGCTGCGATTGGCCTCCAGGAGGTGTCCCACAATGCCTGTTCTTGCCTCTGGTTCTTGCCTTTGGTCATCGGTTTGAATTCTACTGCCCTGCCCTCAGGTGACCAACCGGGAGCCCCACCCCTTAAATTCCTTGGGAATTTTGAAATGTTGGAATGTTTGCTCGGTGACGCGTGCAGCGGTCTCAGTGCATCTTTCCAGGTGACCATGCCAGCTTCACACACCAGGCGATCCACCTCTTGGAGCAATGCCGAGCTGCTGGACCTCATCAGCATTTGGGGAGAGGAGGTTGTCTAGTCCCAGCTGCGCTCCAGCCGTAGGAATTATGATACCTACAGACAGATTTCACAATGAATGACAGAAAGGGGCCATGACCGGGACACACTGCAGTGCAGGGTCAAAGTGAAGTAGCTGCGGAATGCCTACCATAAGGCGCGAGAGGCAAACTGCTGCTCTGGTGCTGCGCCCACAAGCTGCCAGTTCTACAAAGAGCTGGACACGATACTCGGTGGCGACCCCACCTCCGCTGCGAAGGCCACTGTGGATACTTCGGTGTCTCGTGTGCCAGTCGAGAGTGGACCGAGCCAGGAGGAGGAAATCTTGGACGAGGATGGGGAGGGGGACCCAGAGGCAGAGGACGACTCGGAGGTCAGAGATGCATGCAGCCAGGAGCTCTTTTCTACCCTGGAGGAGGCTAGCCTATCTCAGCTGTCAGAGCTTGGAGAAGCGCAAACAGGAGAGGAGGCCCCGGTAAGTGGCTTTAATTTTTGGGAATGGCTGAAGTGAGTTTTGGGGGGTAGGAGGGTTGCAGAAAGCAGGCTTGTGTTTGTACGATGCGCATACCACCACATGCCTAGTTTGAGCGGCGGAACAGGATGTTGATGGACTCCCTCACTTCACGGGAATCTGCCTCAGAGATCTCCACAAAACTCTTATGGAGATACTGGGCAGTCCGCTGTCGTAGGTTCTTCGGCAGAGCTGCTTTGTTTCTTGCTCCATTAACAGTATCTTTCCTGCGCCGCTCTGCCGTCAGGGTGTGGGGGGACCATTGCTGCACACAGGCGAGCTGCATAAGGGCCAGGGCGGCAGCCGCAGTCTTGGAGAAAACCCTCCCTTGACTCCCTGTTCACCTCAGCAGGGGATATCTTCCATAATGAACACAGCCTGTGGAAAATGTGGGGACAGGAATTATTATAAGCTCCCCCCCCCCCAGTGCTGGCTCCCCCCAAGAGCCATGTGCCCAGTGTATAGTACGGTCCTGGAACACTGATTTCCCCTGCCCCTGCGGTTACTCACCATTTTGGGGGTCTTGTGGCTCATGTGTGTTTGCCTGGGGTCAGCCAGTTAGTGACAGGTCTGTGAATAGTGGCTGTGTTTTAAATCACTGAATCAGTGATCTGTGTGTTGCAAACAATACTGCTTCTGTAAAAGGTTGCATTTTGGCTTCACAGAGATTACCTTGGGAACCCAGCCTCCCTCTTTGTTATCGCCGGCTGAACAGCTGTGCAGAATGAGAAAGCGGCCCCGAAGAACTAAAGAGGACTTTCTGCGTGATGTCCTGATGCACTCTGCGGCCGAAAAACAAGAATTGAAAGAGTGGCGGGACAGCGAGAAGAGGGATCGAAAGGAGAACGCAGCGCGCCAGAACAAAGCCACGCAGCGGCTCTTAAACATTATGGAGCACCAAGTGGACACGCTCCAGGTGCTACTAGCACTGCAAACTGAGCAGCTCTGTGCCCGCCTTCCCCTGCAGCTGCTGTCGCCCCCCAGACACCGGCAACACAGGTGTTATTCATACCAACAAGGGTACCAGTTGGTATGAATGTTAATGGCTGCTCCCCTGTCACAGTCCAGCACTAAGGACTTTCAGTACCCACTGCACTCAACACCCATCCCTCTGCAGTTTAGCCCTGCTGAAGTACAGCACCTGCTGCATTGTACTCTAAAGGAGAAGGTTGGATATGATACCTGGACATACACAAGTCTTTAACTGTCCCGGGACCCCACCTCCTCCTGTGACCCTCCCTTCCCCCATCCCCCTCAGTGCTGATATGTTGTTGTTTTTTGTCTCTGTCCACTGGTGGTGGTGGTTTAATAAAAGAATTGTTTTGGTTTGAAAGCTATCTTTATTCTATTAATTGAAAGCAAACAGAGCCCTGCAAAGCAACAGGCAATTTTCTTAAACCTTCATCGTGCATAGTCTGCACCAATCACAATCACCTCCTAGAATTACAAGCACTGCACTCCCGAGCATAGCAACAAATATTAGTGGCTTACAACTTCAAATTGCTGCCTCAAGGCATCCCCGATCCTTATGGCCCTGCGCTGCACCCCTCTAATAGCCCTGGTCTTTGGCTGTTCAAATTCATCCTCTAGGCGCTGAGCCTCAGCGGTCCAGCCCTGAGTGAAGCTTTCATCCTTCCCTTCACAAATATTATGGAGCGTACAGCACGCGGCTATAAGTATAGGAATATTGTCATCAGCCAGGTCCAGCCTCCCACAGAGGCAGCGCCAGCGGGCCTTTAAATGGCCAAAGAACACTCCACAGTCATTCTGCACTTGCTCAGCCTGTTGTTGAACAGCTCCTTGCTGCTGTCAAGTTGCCCCATGTATGGCTTCATAAGCCACGTCATTAAGGGATAGGCAGGGTCTTCCAGGATCACAATGGGCATTTCGACTTCCCCTACGGCTATCTTATGGTCTGGGAAGAAAGTCCCTGCTTGGAGCTTCCTGAACAGGCCAGTGTTCCGAAAGATGCGTGTGTCATGCACCTTTCCGGACCAGCCTGCGTTAATGTCCGTGAAATGCCCACGGTGATCCACAAGCGCCTGGAGAACCATAGAGAAATACCCCTTCCGATTAATGTACTCGGTGGCTATGTGGTCTGGTGCCAGAATTGGAATATGCGTGCCATCTATCGCCTCTCCGCAGTTAGGGAAGCCTATTTGTGCAAAGCCTTCCATAATGTCACACACGTTGCCCAGAGCCACGGTCTTTCGGAGCAGGATGCAATTAATGGCCCTGCACACTTCCATCAACACAAGTCCAACCGTCGACTTTCCCACTCCGAACTGGTTAGCGACCGATCGGTAGCAGTCTGCAGTAGCCAGCTTCCACAGTGCAATCACTGTGCGCTTCTCCAACAGCAGGGCAGCTTTTGTTCTCGTGTCCTTGTGCTGCAGGGCTGGCGTGAGCTCATCACACAGTCCCATCAATGTGGCTTTCCTCATCCGAAAGTTCTGCAGCCACTGCATGACGATGTGATCCCACCACTCAATGCTTGTTTCCTGAGCCCAAAAAGCGGCATTCCACTGTGGTCAGCACCTCTGTGAACGCCACAAGCAATCTTGTGTTGTAGCTGCCATGCCTGATGAGATCAATGTTGAACTACTCTTGCCTTTTTGTAGTTTAAGGAATAACTCCACTGCCACTCGTGACATGTTAGTGAGAGTGAGCAGCATATTGGTCAATAGTGCAGGATCCATTCCTGCAGACCAAAGAGGCAAAGCGCGCAGTACACAAACCGTTGAAAGATGGCACCAAATGCGGACGGAAGCACAGGGATTGCTAGGATGCGAAGCAATGCATCACAGGATATTGGGACAGGACCCAGGATGCCCTGTGGCCCCCTCCGCCTTCCCACAACCCCTAGCGGCAGAAGAGGAAGAGATGCTCTGTGGGATAGCTGCCTAGAGGGCACTCCTCCGCATACTGCTGCAAGTGCCGCAAATGTGAACATGCTATTGTGCACACAATCCCTTCAGCATTCTCTGAGCGGCGCTGAACCTGCTGGCGCTGTAACTCTGCCAGTGTAGACAGATTCTGAGTCTCCTGCATCCATTACCACTGGGCTATTGACTATTCTCAGGGGCGGGAGGGGAGTTGCCCACCCTCTCTCTGTCTCTTTGTGGTTCTGACCAGAAATTCCATTCTGGACCCAAGGAACCTTCCCGACAAAAGTTAAGTCTAAACTCATCTGTTCACACATACAGTTTCGGTGTTGATGCATCTGCATTTATTTTGGACCAAAAATAAGTTTTGTTGAAAAATCCCTGACCAACTCTAGTCATGATCGTAGTGGGGAAATTCATGCCTGGGGGTGGGTATTGTATTGGGTGTGACTGTTGCTTATGTTGCAATTTTGTGGGGAAATACACTTGAACAACCTTAACTCTGTCAAATAAGAGTGTGGGATTATAGAGAGATGGGAAAAATTACAAATCTCTGCCACCACGCTAGTGAATTCAGTTTCCCTAAACGCTACAATCTCACCCTAGTGCTATAGTCTGAATCATAAGAAAGTATATACCTGTGTGAAATCTGTCCATTGGTACTTCATTTCACAGTTTGGGTCACTTGCTTTGACCAGTGAATGACAGCGTATTTCTGCTTGCAAATCTTTGCTAGAAATCCAGTTGAGAACCCTCTTGATATCTGGGAAGAAATGAACAACCCAACCTGTGTCTGCGGGGTGCATTAAATGGAGTGAAGCATGATCAGCCAGGTTCTTTAGGGATCCAGACCCTTTGTGCTGGATTCTGGCTTTAAGGAGCCAGCAGGGATTGCGGCTAGTGCTGGGGAATTCCCTTCTGGTGTAAAGCTGATGGAGGCAGCCCCTGTGCCAGCCTTTGGCATAGGGTGTGTGTTGGTGGGGAGAGGAGGAGTGGCAAAGTGGCTATATCTATCCCGCACTGTAATGGGATCCACCAAAAACTTTGCAACCCTCGGCTGCTGCAGGCTAGTCCCCAGGACCAGGGAGCTGTAATCAGGCTCCATGACGCCACCCCCCCCCTTGCCTCCTGTTTTGAGTCCGTGACTCTGGCTGATAAATATCACTCTGTCTGACTCACATGAAATCTCCTATTCCTGCAGGTGTGCCTCATCGGTGACTGTGTTGGAGGAATTTTGGGGTTTGATGCCATCTGCTACAGTGCTGGCACCACGGGCGAGAGTCAAAACAGTAGCAGGAGAGGGAGCCTCGGCAGCATGCAGGTAAAACTCCCGTAGGTTCATTCCCTGGATGGAAGCCAACTGGCACTATAAGCAGCTTTCTGCGAGAACAAATACAAAGGGTTGGTAGATTGCAGTAGTGCTGAATATTTCAGCTGTTATTTTCAAGGAAAAAGTCCACTGATGTATAGGAAAACTTTCTCACTTTGGGTTTAGAGTACTTGCAAGTCGTTAACAAATGCTTTATTGGCCAATCCATGGGGTGGGGTCATGGAGTGCCTTTCAGTGTATCCCTAATTGTGATTTTTATGGTACCCGCGCCCAATAATCTCTGCCAGCTCCTGTCTATTGCTAAAATCTGCTGTTTTTTATTTTTCACCATAGTGTCTGGAATTCTTAATGCTGCTGCTACAGGCTAATGTTGCATTAAGCCATGCTCGGGAGTGTATTTTAATGGCTCATCGAAAGCGCGCCTTGGTTACACTGGGGAATGCCAGTCAGCTGAGGGTCGTGTGAACGGAGCACTAAGCACACTCGGGAGTCTCTAAATGAATCCTGTTCTAATGAGAATCTCTAAATTCAGATCATTTTTGAGATGTAAATCTGCTTTAGAAAGTAGTTTGGGGTAGAAAAAAGCAGAATTAGGTTCTTTTATTACTATTATGTTAATGTCTGTGTTGCATTATTGATGTACTATTTAAGAAAAAAAATCAAAGATAAATTTAACTAATCTTATGTAGTCTGAACGAAGTTTCTGGGGCCTTGAGAGGCAGTGGGTATGTCTTCACTGCACACTAAGCCTGGGTTCTCACTCAAGTTTAAGCCCAAGCTCCCCCTTCCGTCCACGTGCAAATCAATCTGATTCGGGTCAGCAAGCACTCAGGCCCTGGATGCAAGGTCTCCGCTAGTGGGGTTGGTCAGGCCCCAAGTCACACTGCGACTTGGATCCAAGCCCTGTTGTTTTGGCGTGTGGACACCACTCAAGCCCCAGACCCAAGTCAGAAGCTCTGCGTAGTGCAGTATGGATGTACTAGCAAGGTTGTGAGACCCAGATCCACACTGTGGACACTCAAGTGCAGGCTTGAAAACACTGAGTCCACAATCCCAGGTGTCTCAGACCCCGATTTACAATGCAGTGTAGACATGACCAGTTGACAGGGTAGTGGTCTAGGTAGGGTTCAAGAGATGTGGGTTTTATTCCTGGCTCTGCCATGGGCTTATTATGAGATTCTGGGCCAGATACTTCATCTTTTGGTTCTTCAGTTTCCCTATCTCTACAATGTGGATAACAAGACTGACTTCTTTTGTTCAGCACTTTGAGATGTATGGATGAAAAGTGCAATATAAAAGCTAAATGGTATTTTCATTCAGAAAAAGAGACATCCTCCTAATACTTGTGGGAAAGGAAATATTCCTAAAACAAATTACCCCATAGTTACATTGCTGAAATTTCTCAGCAGCTAGCCATTCTAGCACCGCAGATTGTCCTGTCACTCAACATTGTGAAGAAATGCAAATCGTAGGACCCTATCCTGCAGTCGGATGCCCAAGAGCTTCAGTGGGATTCCGCAGGGGCCATCATGAATCCTGCTGCAGGATTGGATCTTGGAAGTGCAAATTATTTTAAAATGGAAATGTTTTCAGGATAACAGTCACTCTTTTGGCTTGGCCAGTAGCTTGACTCTCATCATTCCCTTCACTTTATCCTCCCACTCTGTTCCTTTCTTCCTCCTCTACTCCTTTATTTCCCCTTTCTCTTCTCTGTATTTACTTCTTGTCATGATACCCACTTTCCTCTCCCCCTGCCCACACTTTTCTTTTACCCCCTTTCCTTTTGATCCTCTCACCACACCTATTCATCTATTTCCCCCCGCAGCAGGAAATATTAAACAAACAGAACAAAACAAAACACTTGGGGTGAAATCCTGGCCCTATTGAAGTCAAAGGCAGTTTCACCCTTGGTATATCATCATCATTGATCGGAGCGTGTGGCTGGTCTGTACGTCTATCTGGGCTTTATGGGTGGCTTGGGGTGCTTTGAACTTTTCCCTTCTCTTACACAGACCGATTGAGAGCACTTAAATAGGATCCAATTTGTTTCCTGGAGTAGAAGTTCAAAGCGACTTTGCTGTCTGCAGAGAACAGTTGAGCAAAACAGTCAGGCTCCAGGCAGAGGCAGGGCCGGCTCCAGGCACCAGCCCAGCAAGCAGGTGCTTGGGGCGGCCAAGGGGAAGGGGCAGCAGGTTGGGCTGTTCGGGGCAATTTGGAGGCGGGTCCCTCTCGGAGGGAAGCACCTGCCACCGAATTACCGCTGCCGAAGAAGAAAGCGGCGCGGTGGAGCTGCCGCCGGAGTGCCGCCGATCGCAATTGCGATCGCGGCTTTCCCCTCCCCCCCCCCCCGCCTCTTGGGGCGGCAAAAACCCTGGAGCCGGTCCTGGGCAGAGGGACGTGGCGTTTGTCTGAATTTTGGCAATCCGAGCAGTGCTGGTAGGAGCAGAAGGTCCTTATGTGAGAGGAAAGGATGCTACTATATGTGCAGCATTTATGTTTATTATATTTCACCTGCAAAGCAGACTTGTGAAAGATCAACTGAAAGCAATTGTAAGGAACCTTTCGAGCTTATTCTGTTGGATTTAGCACCTGGTCCTGAAAGATGCTCAGAAGCTGTTGTCAGGTACTTCATGCCTCTCAGGACTGGGGCATGTAAGGAGGAGATAGTTGTAAACGATATCTCTGTTGCTTGTGACCGAAAGTTGGTACTGATGTTTGTTTGCTGGCCTAGGCGGAATATGAGTTTAGTGGCCCTTAATCTATATCATAAAAGCAGCCATTAACATTCATACCAACTGGTACCCTTGTTGGGAGGCCTAGCCCAGAGTGGATCTCCGAAGAGAGGCCAAGGATCAAATAGGCATGGATTCTGGTGGAGAGGAGATGATTTTTAGTTCTGTAAGATCTCCAGGGGAGGGGTTGTCTCTTGTCTGCTTGTAGTACACTCAGCTCCCCATCCCACTAAGACCATTGGGTGTTACCTTTATATAAATGTTTATTGATGATAATGCCCGTGTTTTTACTACTTCTTGGGATAAATAGAAGTCAGTTTCCTGGGTTCTTTGTGCTAGCAAAAGGCATCATAACAAGTTTACATAATTATTTGTACTGTGGCAGTCCTCACAATGTGTTAGGTGCCTTCCCAACACAAAGCAGGACACCGTCCTTGCCCCAGGAGCTTACAGTCTAATCAGACAGATAGGTAGAGAAGATGAAATATGAATTCCAGATATTCTTCCTTTGAATAACTATCAGCTCAGCCCCTGCCTAGCAATTTACTGGTGTTTCAGTAGAAATGGCTCTTAAGGAGTGGTTTGGGGCGGAGGGTGGGGGGTAGATTTTTGATTTGCCAATCCCAAGGGTATTTGTGAAATGAAATTAATTGGGTATGAGGATGGGAATCTTATACTCTGAATTGTAACCAGAGAAGAATTTTATGGCCTGATTATGAACCCTGAAAATAGAATAAAATTAGGTTTATATAGCTCCCTTCATACTCCAGTTATTCCGAAGTGCCTTATAACAATAAGTTAGAGAAAGGGTACTACAGAGACCATTATGTTCTCTGAGTAGCGCACAGCCTTGAGCATTAGGAGTATATGTTTATATATTATGGCAATGTAAATAGGGAATTATAATAGAAATACCAATCAAAATTCACCTGCAGCAGCATTGGAATGTGCCACTGTAATTTCTCTGCAGTATTTTGGGTTCCAATATGCCCAGAATAACCAGCGGAGAATTACAGTATGAGTTCTCCTCATACACAGAACAAAATACGTGTTCCCATTGCCTATCATGTATAAGCCTTACTAGACGAGTATTTGAGGAGTTCACTATACATTCTAAGGTAGTATAGGGAAATAAGTACATTCTGCTTTGACCGGATTAATAGTAGTAATAATACCTAGCTCTTATATAGCAGTGTACGTCTGTAAATATCAAAGTGCTTTACAAAGGAGGTCTGCATCATTATCCCCATTTTACAGTTGGGGAAACTGAGGCACAGAGCGGGAAGATGATTCAGACCAGTGGCAGAACTGGGAATACAGCTCAGTTATCCAGAGTCCCATGACAGGACCCTCCCCCACTAGAACACACTGTCTCTTAGAAGAGAATTCTGTTCTCTCTTGCTGATGCTGTTAAAATAGCATTCTGAAGCATTCAAGATCTTATTGAAAGACGTTTGTTTGACAGGGTTTTAGGAGGAGGCTCAGGGTTTGCTTCTAGTAGCAATAAAGGGGTGGAAAGGAGTTTTTGTAGGTGGCTGGTTGAGCTTCTGTTGAATTGATTATTTTAATGCTGCTGAGATTTAATTGTATTACCGGCATGTTAGGGCGCCTAGAGCTTTGGAGAGTGGTGTTTAGTTATTAATTAAGTTGAAATAACTAAATAGTCTCTTCCGCAATCATCTCAGCTTTCTTCTAACAGAGTATGCTTGGTCATTCCCCCACCCCCCCCATAGTTTAATTTGTTTTGCAGAATAGTTTCCAAGTACGGTTAAAATAAATGTAGCAATTTGGCACAATGTTCCCATGCAGTGTATGAGAGACAAATGGCCATGAATCTGACCCCAAGTAGTTAAACTAATGAGATTTGAACTCCAGCAAAGCTTTTCAGCTAATCTTTGGAGGCGTGAATGTATGTTGTTTTAAATTTAAAAAAAACAACCCATGTATTTAGAATGAGATTAAATGTAACAAGTCATCTTTGCCTTAGCCTCAGTGCCTTTAGGCATTTTGGCACAATATAGTCTCTAAATACTGGTGATGTTACATGCTTCTGCCCTTCTTGACAGATGGATGGAGCTATTGCGGCAAACGTGATACAGAACTCAGTTACAATTGCAAAGGACTGGATGGCTTAAGGGGATCCATTCCTGAGTAACAGAACCTGTAGGTTACCAGCTAATATCTAGCTTGGGTCAGTAGTACCAAAAAGCCTTTCCAGTCTAAAGGCTGTTTAGTGACATACATGAACTGAATTTGATCCCAGTCCAAATCCCTTTGGGCAGGTTGTCCACATGATGAAAGCCAACCTTCTAATGGGTATTACCGGGCTCCCTTGCTTGCCTATCTCAGCAGAAGGACTAGTTGTTGAATGCACACATTAACAAAGCTGCCCTCTTAGTGGTCCCTCCACGGCAGAGTTGAAGTCTCTTTTCTTGAGAATGTGGGCAAGTTTACAATGAAGCTGTATATGTTCTGGAGATAAACAGGAGTTCGCTGCGGGGTTGTGCATCTGGAATAATTCACCTGTAATGGATTCACATACAGATTTGAAACAATAATAGGCCTATCCACACGCTTGCTGAGAAGCATTTTCCTTGTGGCATATAGCGGCCTCAGATTTGTGGGTCCATTTTGGCTGCACTGCCTTATCAGAGAGGTTTTGACTTCAGTGCTATGAACCCCTTAACTCTGAATTTCTTTCTCTTTGTGGTTCAAGAAATGTAGGTGCAAATTCCCAGTTCTGCCACAGACATTCCGTGTGACCTTGGGCAAGTCTCTTAATCTCTCTGAGCCTCAGTTCTGTCTGTCTCATCTATTTACATTGTAAATGCTTTGCAGAAGGACTGCTGTCACTGTGTTAGTACAGCACCCAGCACAGTGTAGCCTTGATCTCAGCAGGGGCCTCTACTGTAGTAAACCATAAACAATGATTTTGAAAACATTTCAACATGACACCATTATGTCCCCGGGAGGACCCTGAGGGGAGCAGTGTGACAGAGAACGGAAAGCAGGGGCAGAGGAGAGTTGTGTAGGGACAGGGGGTAGGATTCTGCCCTCAATGAGGTCACTAGAAAAACTGCCACTTACTTCACTGGCCTGTGGAAGATAGAGAAAGAAGAAAGTTACGAAATAGTTAATCCCTTCTCCATCCAGACTTGTTCATTCCTTCCACACAACCCCCTCCCTCCTCAAAACCTCATCTGAAATGCATGTGCTTTGGCAGCTACATAAAATGTAATCTAAAAACTAGGTGATATTGGGGTTTCCTCCTACTCTGTTGAGTAAAAAAAAAAAAAGTAGCAGTATCTTGTTAACTTAGATTAGTTTTTGTCACTAAAGAAAAGAGCTACCACATCTGAACAGAATCCAGCTCAAAGAACTACATCATATCCAGTAAATAAACACACACAATGGAAATGCCAACTTAACCATGGTGGTGGCAGCCCTGCAGCGGGAGTTTGGATGTTTTTCCACTCAGTATTGGTCTCAGATCATCAAACTGTGCAAATAGTAATCTCACAGTGATTGCCTTGTGACCCAGCAGAAGAAACCTGGACACAGGTTTTAATGATGCTCAGTGGGCAACTGTGAACTGCTGCCAATTTCCAACAGACTGAAGAGACCTGTAACTTCCAGTGCCACTGGTCATTCTTTTACTGAACATTCGGTTGAGCTAGTTCAGTGGTAGCACAAGGTAGTGTCTAAATATTGCTTAGAACCAGCCCAGCAAAATATACACCTCTACCCCAATATCACGCAACCCGATGTAACACGAATTCGGATAGAACGCGGTAAAGCAGCGCTCCGGGGGGGACGGGGCTGCACAGTTCGGTGGATCAAAGCAAGTTCGATATAACGCGGTTTCACTTATAACGCGGTACAATTTTTTGGCTCCGGAGGACAGCATTATATCGGGGTAGAGGTGTATGTGGGATTAAATAGAAATAGGTGTGTTTGTGTTGCGGTATTGCCAACTCCATGTATTCAAAAATCGAGTCTAGCCCCTAAGAAAATGAGATTTTAAAAAATTGGATTGATTGGCCTTCTGGCTTTTTATTTTAATTAATTTAATTTGGCTATTTTGGAGATTTTAGGCTGCACATTTGCAAGCCTCTCTGCACCCAGGAGGACTAGAAACTTATTTTTTAAACAAAATATTAAGATTTTTGTGTATTCACATGACTTCAGGGTCTTGGACTTTAACACAAAATATTACAAGGCTCCTGATAAAATTGTGAAAGTTGGCAACCTAATGATATTTTCTGAAACTATCTTCACAGTGCTTAGATGATGTGACAATGAGAATTATAAAAAAGCTTATTATTCAATCAGATGTTTAAGTGCTGTATCCAAAACCTGTTGAAGTTAATGAATTGCAGGAGGTATGTCTAAGGCACTAAATTATTTTGCTGTGTGTGTGTGTGTGTGTGTGTGTGTGTGTGTGTGTGTGTGTGTGTGTGT